CCAGGGGTCTGACTGCAGGATTGGGACCAAGGTTTTTAGCACACTTGTGAGAAACAAACCTCCTTTCCTTACCCACGGAGCAGCCGGGCCCTCAGCTTGGAGGCAGCAGTCTTGCACAAGCAGTACAGGAAGCAAGATGCTTGCTGTAAGACCTCAAGCAAAGCTCCTTTTCTGGTAGGCTGGATGCTGGGGCTGACTATTGAAGCCTACCTGCAAAGCTGGGGGTAGCAGGTGTATACTTGGGGGCGGTGGGAGGACACCAAATGAAAGTGGAAGGATGCTAAAATGAACATGGGCCGACAGTGTGGGGATGCAGTCAGGAAGGCCAACCGTACCTTGTCATGCATCCACAGATGCATCGCGAGCAGGTCCAAGGAGGTGATCCTCCCCGTCTATGCGACACTGGTCAGGCCGCAGCTGGAGTACTGCGTCCAGTTCTGGGCGCCGCACTTCAGGGGGGATGTGGACAACATGGAGAGGGTCCAGAGGAGGGCCACCCTCATGAGCAGGGGACAGCAGGGCAGGCCCTATGAGGAGAGGCTAAGGGACCTGAACCTGTTCAGCCTCCACAAGAGAAGGCTGAGGGGATCTAGTGACCACTTACAAACTAGTCAGAGGGGACCAGCAGGCATTGGGGGAGTCCCTGTTCCCCGGATCACTCCCAGTGACAAGAAATAATGGTCACAAGCTGGCAGAGGGTAGATTCACACTAGACATCAGGAGGCGCTACTTCACTGTCAGGGCAGCTAGGATCTGGAACCAACTTCCAAGAGAAGTGGTGCTGGCTCCTACCCTGGCAGTCTTTAAGAGGAGGCTGGATGAACACCTTGCTGGGGTCATTTGACCCCACTACTCTTTCCTGCCATGGCAGGGGGTCGGACTGGATGATCTGTCAAGGTCCCTTCCCACCCTACCAACCATGAAACTATGACACTGGGGTGAGCAGAAGCAGAGAACAGGCCATGGGGGCTGCAGTGCCCAAGTGAGGATGCAACCCCAAGCACCAGATCCATGCCTGCTGCCAACACAGCCTTGTAGCTCTGGGTGTCTGTGTAAGCTTCCTACTCACTCTCCAATTGTTCCTTTTCCCCTGTGCTACTTCCTTGCAAGCAGCTGTATCCCCTTTTCCACAGGCTCATCTTCCCCAGACCTCTCTATGCACACTGGGGGCCATCAACAGAGTCTGATCTAAGCTGGGCTGGTTCAGCCAGTCTTCCCACTGCAAGCAGCTCCATGAGACTCCAGGGCAAGGTGGAGACAGGCTGGGCCACTTCAAGGCAGCTGCACACATCCTGCAGCACTCTTAGAAGCATGTTGCAGCTCCCCAGTTGTGCAGTTGCCTCTGGGAGATGTGCTGTCAGACACGAGATGGCTCAGCACAGGGGTAACTGGGGGAAATGTGAATCTTACATTCTGCAGGAAACCAGTTTGGATGGTTAAGTGGCCCTTATGGTCTTAGTTGGGGCATTTCTGCATCCGTTAGCCCAGAGCATTCTCTGTCATCGTCCACATCACAGCACAGGAGTACAGGAGTTACTGCAACTCGCTTCTGTCCTACAGGAAGAGGTTGAGGTAGGGCCAGCTTGGAGCAGGGAGAAGAGCAGAGCCCTGGCTATCCCCTGGCAAAGAGCCCTGCCTGCCCACTGAAGAGAATGCTTTCCCTTGAACACCCACAGCAACTACTGCTTCATTAACAAGGATCCAAATGAACTGTACAGCTGAGAGTTAAACTTCCCCTATTCCCTACTGTTTCCCTAAAAGTCAAACCACTCTGCAGGGATTTCCTGCACAATGATGGCAGAGTAGCTCCTCCCACCCCTCCTTTTTTACAACTTCTGTGCAGAGAAGAGCTGATGTGTGAGATCCCAGAGGAAAAAAACCAAGTGCTGAGGAATGGGGAAGTGGGGCACGTACAGGCTAGGGATCCTGGACAGGTTAGTGACCAGGCGCTGAAATCACACTAACACGCAGACCCAAGAACACATCCCAGATACAGCAGCAGCCTGGAAGCCAACGTTCTTGGAAGTGGTGGAGGTTTCAGAGCTACATGTTTGTACTGGCTCAGAACGTCAGTGGGAAGCTTTCGATGAGTTCGAAACATAAGAACGTGAGGGCAGGCGCGTGCCACTGCCTTGCCCAAAACAGGTTAGAGCCTGGGAACTGGGTATTTGTCTGGGAACCACTGAGCCAAGGGCAAAGCTCAGCTTCCATGTAGATGGGACTTGAACTGCAAGCTAGCCAGATACATACCAGTGCATTTACCACTTGGCTTGACTGCATGCTTAGGCATTTCTCTTTCTTCCTGCCCCCACCACCTCACCATTTTGTGAGAACTGCCCATTTCCCAAACTTGCTGCAGTGAAATCAGTAATTTCTAATAAAAATAAAGGGAAGAAGAATTCCTGACCCATTTTATCCAACACCCCACTCCCACCTCTGGGAGGAGGTGGGGTGGAACAAGGCAACCTTATTTCTAGGCCTCTTGCTAAAACCAAGTAAGCCCCCACACCCCTCCGGCAACTGGGGAAGGGAACTCTGAATCTCTAGCTTCTAGCTCCTGCTTTAAGCAGTACACCCCAACCTTCCCTGCTCCACGTATGGCGAGGAAGAGCTGTGCACACAAGGGTGTCTAAGAAATAAGTTTATTGATGATAGCCGTAGGACATTATATGATACAAGCCACAGAGACAGGTTCCAATGCAAACAGCTAGGAACGAGAGCAGTGCAGACATTAACCCTCACATTTTGGAAGGGAGAGCTCCCTCCTAGCACATGCAGTGGCCCCCATGGGGCATAGACTTCTGCTCAACATCTGGAGGTGTCCTGCTTCAGGGGGCTGAAGCTACACGGCCCATCACAGCCTCACCCCATGCACCCAGCTGTGGCTGCCCATATAGGACCTGATTGCTGCTGGTGAGGAAGGTGATGGGAATGTAGTAGCCTCCAGATGGGACACATTTTGACTTTAGATAGCTGGAGCTCGAGCCAGTGGCCCTGG